ACGGATCATGGGTTAGAGTCCCCTTTGCTATCAAGTTGAACGTGTTAGGTCTTCATGGTTTTCCGCTCCACGTAACGTAAGTGCGGGTTAATTAAATCAAAAAGTCCTCCACTAAAGCAAATTTCTCCCAATACTTGATCTAGGAGTTCCCTTGACTTTGGATTGGGTTACGGAGTTGAACATCAGTAGAAACATTAGTAGAACAGCCGACCCGAAAAAATTGGGTCAGCTGTTCAACGACGGTTATAAAATAAAATAAAATTTTGCTGTCCTCAGGTCTAATATAATTATTTTAACTGTTAAAATATCGTGTTGACCAAATCATTGTAAATCAACTTTATTATACTATAAATGAAATATTCAATAGTAATATTTTTTGCCTCTTAAAATATTTACGAAAAATCTCCCGCTGAAATGGGAAATGTTTGAAATTAAGTATTTATTAGGCTTTAACATTAACTACTATAAAGGATTTTAAAATTATTTACGAAAGACTGTAACTGTATTTTTGTTAGACTAAATCAGGTTAAATGGCAAATTTTAAGACATGTCTACACTTACCCTATCTCATGGGAAATGCAACTTTTTTTTAAAGAAAAAAGATTAAGAATTATGTATTTAAATTAGCCTATGTATCATTCTAAATGAGAAAAACTGCTTAAATTTAAATTTAAAAAATGCTAGATGTACTTAAAATAATGATTAGTAAACTTCTTGGGCAGATTTGTAAAAACTGTTCACACTAGTTCACTCGCTTACATAGGTTTTAAAATAGTTGCATTTGCCCTTGCGTTACAAAAAAAGCGTTTTGCCCTTTTTGGAGCAGCAAAAATTTTGATTGAAAATTATAAACGGGCAATATTTTATTTACTGAGACCATATATCAAGAATTCCTAGTCCTCGTATGTTGTTGAAGCTGGGCACCTGGGCCGCAAACGGCCCCTACGCCATAAAATACTGCACAGTTTGAGGTTGATCATTTTAATCAGCAGGCAGTGGGATTGCTTCGATTTTATTTCAATCACTTTCCTTGAATAATTAGAATACAAGTGAAAATAATATGCATATGATATATGAAAATAATATGCAAGTGAAAAGTAGAATTATAAATGAAGATATATATTTGCCCTTTATGTTACTTAAAGAATACTGGTTCCTAAAAGACGGTGATCGTTTAGAAGCAAATAGTTTTGCACTTTTAGTGGTTTGCAATAATTTTGGAATAAGTATTACCAAACTGGACACAGTGCGCCGGAAACGGTTAAGTGATTTTTGTAGTCAATGGCTCATATTAATTTATATGAGAAAGATAATATGCCATAGTACGTAGTACATTAGTTTGGGTTTATTAGGAATAAGGTAAAAGTCAGATACTAAAATAAATAAAGGTGATACAAGACATGTAAACAAAAAATTGCGATTAAACTTAACGTGGATTTACTAAATTCCCCCTTTTCCTTAAAGGTTCTGCTGACAAGGGAGGGGAGTGAGTATGAGCAAAGCTTTCTTAAAACTTTTATCACTATATGTATAAATAAATAAATTGAGAAAAACAACTTATATTTCGAATAAAAGCCTCACGTAAGCATAAAGAGTTGCAGCAAAAAAATCATAGAGACTGCAAAGAAATTATTACTGATTATCACAAACAATGGATTTTTTTAAACGTTATAGTATCATGAATGCTCAATATCCGGTCACGCTATCTAGTGCAAAAGCACCTAAACCGGACATTCTCGCTATCCATAAGCTTGACTTCGAAACTTATTATTCGCATATGTTTCATCAAATAAAAAGGTGCTTTATGTATCCGTAGTAATATTTGAATAGTCTTTAAACTACTTTCTGAACTCCTGCAAATTTAAACCTAGTTAAATATTTAGAAATTTCACCTGCTTAAAAAAAGTTATATCTTGTTTTACGATTTCTTAATCAGTAAAATTCCATTTGGATTTTCAAAATCCCATGTAACCTTGCTTTTCTTAATTTTAAAGAATATTTAACACAAATTTGAATATCATATCAAGCAATAAATACATCATACCGTTGTTTGCTTACAAAAAAAAAACTTCAGCAGGACTTCTAATTAACCCTTAAGAAGAGAAAGTCACTTTTTTTAATAATCAGGTCGCCTAACGGTATCATCTGACATCTTTGGCGACATAATTTATTTTCACTTTTAAGTGGGTCAGGGAATTTCTTTTGAATCGTGATGTACCTGAGTTGAATAAGAGGGCACTATTTATCAATTTGTATTAAAGATGAGAGATAATGAAGCCCTCTTTTAGTTCAATCCATATAAAAAGCACCAAGGACGCATTATTTCCTGTCTAGCCCACCTTGGAAGATCTTAAGAAGATAGTGTATGGTTTTCACAATGACAAATTTTAAAAAAAATATTCGAACATCGGGTGACAGTTAAGTGCATTTTTATCTAGGATTACCTTCACATTCCTAACGGTCATTGCCTAAAATGGATGGTAAATATAAGCCGCATGAAGAGGATGATACTTAAAATTCATACAGCACGAAAATGGTTTAAAAAGTGAAAAACATCTTGTTATTAGTACGTTAAAGACTAATAGAATCTAGAAGAATGTTGAGACAAGAAATCGAATAGAAAAAGTGAATTTCAATAGACTCCCATAACTTGAATATATTCAAGGTTGGTAATTATGATAGGAAAAGAAAAACTGGATTAATCCTCTGCCCTTAGTTAAGTCACGCACGGCAGATTAAATAGGAAAAAGCAAAAATGGCGGTTGTAGGAACATTCCATTTTTACCGTTTCTTGGGTAAGAATAAACCATCTCCGGAATCAACGATTATTAACAGTATAATATCTAGAGTAACAGCATAATATATCTATAAAAACCACGATTTTGTTTAAAGGTCTTCGAAAATTCTACAAAATATGAAAATAGGTCTTTAAAAAAGGCCTGCGATAAATTTTGTCGCCGGGACAGTAAGGCGTTGAATGTATTTCTTCTCTTCTTCCTCAGCAGAACTTATCGAAACGAAACTAAACAGTGCTACTATTGGACGAAATCCTTATTGTTTTGGGGGTACAAATCTTCATTAAACAAATAATAAGAAGGACTAATATTAATTTTTATAACTCGAATGACAGTAAATAAGAACAGCTTAAAAAAGAACATTATAGAGTCAACATAGTAAAACTAACTTATCTACACAGAAGCCGTGAATTAATACATAACAACACGAAAGCCAATAGGGTATGTCCTTCTTCTTGAGTAGTAAAATGTAGTGCAGAGATTGTCCACTAAAAAACACAACTAATTTCCACACAATTTGGGTAACCGGTGCTCTCTTACTCCGAAAATGTTCTTATTAAATTATTATAAAGGAAGCACAGAAATTTTGGGCCTTCTTAAAAATTGCTATTAATAAAGAGAAATATAAACAAGTTTACCCAACTTCCTTTTGATTCGTAATTTCCAGTTTTTTTTTAATAGATAAGTTGAAAAGTTAATTAAATGTGCAAACGAATTTAATCTGAGATTTTGTAATTTTTTGGTTAGTTCATGAACTTTATCTCAAAAATTGTCTTGTAGTAAAATGCTTTTATAAATGGAGATGAGCGTGTGAGATATCTAGCTCTTTTATTATAATGGTTTTGCGCAATATCAATATTTTGCACAAATATATATTTTTAAATTTATTTCTCCTAGTATTATAGAGCAATACAGTAATTATGATTTAATATGGGATATGTGATTTATAATTAATCCTTATTTATTAACAATATTGAAATCTTCCCTATTATTCGACAAAATATTTATCGATGTATGTTGCAATTGTTAAATGTAAAAATAGTTACAGATAGTTTATTTCGCCTGAGTAAATTATCGAAATGATGTATTCTTACTACTGAGCTTTTTATATTTTTACTACTATTTTCGAATGCGTAGCAGACCCGAATACAAGGTTCCCATAAGTTTTATAAAATCTTAAGAAGTAGAAAGAATCTTGTAGTAGAAAGAAAAATGGAGACACACTTCGAACATTTAATATGTTTCTGACCATTACTCTTGTTTTGTTGTAAAAATATAACATACGAGTAAATACTTTGCACAACTAAACGTCCAAGCGTTTAAGTGGTATTTTTTAAAAAAGAAGATTCCTAATAACATTAATATGAATTTATTACCCCTATTACATTATTATAAGTATTGAAGGAATCCAAATGGTATACTTAAGGGTATATTAAAAATAATGGTATTCATTATCGAAGATTCATTAATTTCATCCATCTATTTATCGGATGTAACGGAAGTAGCCGTGAGGCATGAATTCCAACCATTATAAAGATTAGTTTTAAATTGGTGACTTTCGTTTATTTTACGTTGATTCGTACTTGTTAGTACATTATAACAATGACTTAATTAACTTTAGAATAATTTTAACTTTTAAGAAGAAAGGGGCTCTCCCCGGGCAAGGTACTCTGCAATACAATTTTTAAATTTTCGTCAGTTTTTCTGCAATCATGTTACCTTTTCTTTCTTCTTTCTTTCTTTTTTTTGTAAAGTAAAAACTGAGAGACGTAAATATATTTTTTTCCTTTAAACAAGGAAATCTTTACAATTTTTTTATTATAGAATTCTATGATCTTTGCGATCTTTAGTCGTCCAATATAGAGAAACATGTTTTCTTCATATTTCACTAGATGCTAATATTGGTCAAATTTGATTTGTGACATTTAGAAACGTTTCCTTGTTAGTGTAGTTTTTGAAAAATTTTGTGAAATGCCATTTTAATGCGTTTCTTTTTATGCGAAATTGTATCTCCATGGTAATTTTGTAAGCAAACCATTATCAATAAACAAATTATAAGATGGTAGATAAACGATAGTTGCCGTAGATTTTGTTAAAATATTTTTTATTGAGAAATTAGTCAAAAAAAAAAATTTTGTTCGTAAAGAATGATTACCTAATATCGATTTCAAACTCCTCAAAATAAACTAAAACAAAAAAATAATGTTTCTTATCGCCACCACAGTTGCTTTATTGCATTTTTAACCCAGAATATTTAACAATAAATACAAAATACTGAGCACCATTCACCTTGTGTGAGCAGTTTTACTTCAAGAAGCATTAAAAAATCAGTGCCAGTAATGCCTGTAATTATTATTATCGTAATAGGAAGAGTAAGCATGTCCATTGTGTCCATTGTGCCCATATCTGTCCCAGGCATGGTTGTCGTAATGCCTGTATGGTGCGTGGACATCATCTCTGTGGTAAACGGGACTAAGTACGTTTGGTTGACTGTAAATGGTACTTGGTCTTGGTCTGTAAGAGTTGTAAGGCCTGTAAGATGTTTGAGGGGGATTACTTCGGCCTGTAGCTGCTGAATAGAACTGTACATCAGCTGGGCTCTGTGCCTCAGTGCCTGGTTCATTTGTGTCAATGGTTGCTCGGAAGCCATTTTGATCAGCAATGTAGTCTACGACTCGACGGCGACCATCTTCTACGGCTAAAGTGTAGGAACCAACAACTCTGCCACTTGAATCACCGGTTTCCTGTCTGGAGCTGGAACCATCTTCCATGTTAGATACGTAATTGAAAGAGTATGGCATATAGCTATAGGATTCTGGTGCTCTAGGTGCTGTGTAGGTTGGACGCCGTTGTTGGGCAGCTGGTTGGAGATTCTATAAGAATATTTTATAGTGCTTAAAATGTATTGAAGGGGTAAATGTAAAACAATCCTTACTGTAAAACTAACTAATAAAATGAAGCAGAAATTTAAATTTAATTTGGATGTAATTAAAAAGTAGCTAATTTAAAATTAAAAAAAATTAGTGTGCTAATAAAAGTAAGCGCATGGAATTAAAGATATTACTAAAATTATAAGAAAATGAGTGCTTCAAAAGTTTGCAATTTAAACTAGAAACCACGTCAAAGTAGTCCACCTCTAACATCTTACAAGATCTGTTATTTAATCAGGAAAACCATGCTTTTACCAATTTTTTATGCAAAAAAGATCACAGATTCTAAAGTTATTCAACATTATCTTAAAAAAATCTTAACATTCATAACACATAAATTTATGATTACTGAATTGTTGATTGCCCTAAATTATTCTTACATCACAATAAAATCAAGTGATTACTAAATTGTTGATTACTAAGTCACGATAAAATCATAATAAAATCTCGTAATTACTAAATTTTTGATTTTATACGTTTAATAGAGTAAAAAAATTCTTCATGATATTATGATATCATTTTTTTAATAAAGTTCATTGGAAATCTTCGGAAAAAAACCAGCTAACTACACCAATAGCAACTCAGATAAACAAACAATTCTATTTTTATATTCAGTGTAAAACTAATCTTGCTGCATTATATGTAGGCAAGTTTTGCGATTACTTTTTTAACACTATAATTCTGCTTTGCTAGACAGAAAAAATAATGATTCTACAAGTTTTATTAACGCTATTGAATTTTTTTTCTATTCAGTTATAACTTATACTTGTAAAGTTTTCCTTTTGTAATTTTATAAAAAGATTTTATGCTCAAAATTTCATAATTCTTATTAATTTCTTTTAAATAAATATAAAGAAATAAATCCTCTAATGACAAAACCTACATTGTATGTTTGATCTATGGGATAGAGGTAAGTCTGTGTATTGCCTTCAGATTCTACCTGAGAATTTGTAGTTGAGGTCTGAGTAGTAGACTGTTGAGCCAAGACAGAACCAACAATGCATAAAAGTAGCAATGGCAACTGAAAAATATTAAAATAACGCTATTTTGAATGAAGCATTATATAAACAAAAAACAACCTGGCCACATTTGAACATTGAAATTTTTAAATCATGATTATTAACTCATTATATATTTAAATTATTTAACTTTACTAATTCATATTATTTCTTGTCATTTTCAGGTAAACAAATATATAATTGGTGAATTTATTGCAAGAAGTGATAAATAGCAATTTTTTTCTATTTTATTTCTCGGGTCAAAAACAAGAAAGCAGAGGTAAATTTCCATATTTTAGTAAGTTTCTAATAAAAAAAATTTATATCGATCAAGAACAAGAAATTCAAAGAAAATTATTTATACTGAAAAAGGAATACAAGAAATTCTAAAAAAAAATTATTTATATTGAGCAAAATATAAAATGAATTACAAGAAAATTATTTAAAATGAACAAGAAATTAAAAGAAAATTATTTATATTAAATAGGAAAATGTAAAAAAAATGTCAGAAAAATTATTTATATTAAAAATTTATTATTTAGTTGTTGCGTTTATCATTTTGATAAAAAGGAATAAAAAATGATCTTTTGAAGTTAATTAATATTTAATTTAAACTTTTCCAGTTTCCACTTTAGTTTTATTAAATTATGTTTGATGATTTAACTTTCTTAAACTTTATTGGTGCGTACTTACCCTGGTAAAAAAATTGCGTTTAAATTAAATTGGTAACTTCTAATGACTGTTACCACTTTTATTTCATAATTATCACAGGCATATTATATCAAACTAAAATTTTAATTTTTCTTAAATTAATTTAGCAAAGACAAGTATCTTATATCATACCTGCCAACTCTTCCGGATTTTCCGGAAGATTTTATTTTCATATTTAAAGTGGTAGTAAATATATACTATTTTTCTTTTATAAACTTAATTTTTTAATGATTTTAATCACCACTATTCTTAGAAAAATTAAGCAGATATATTAATATGCGTTACTAACATGGTTGTCAACTAACAATTACACAAACATGGTTTTCTCAAATACAACGTATTTGTTTGCTTAAAGTTGAAGTTTTAATTCCATTTTAATGCCACTGGGAAAAATAATTTTGGAAGGGATTAAAAGTTGGCAGGTATGTTATATCCTTGATTTTAGGAAGATGGTTTAAATGTTATTCTAAAGTAATCACTTTCCAAAAAGTAATTGCTAGGAAAAAGATTGAGAAAACAAAATGTTTGTAAATAAAATCTCTCTGATACAATTGATAGATTGAATTAATAAAACTGACGTGATAATTAAGAAATTTACGATAACATCATAAAACGAATGTGACCACTTTTTAAACTGTGATCAAATTTATGCTATACTGCATATATTTACTGGAAAAGTAATTGCAAGTAAATACTATTTTTATTTAAACTATTGTTAGCCCTGTGAGTTTATGGAAATTTCAATGTTATTTGCAATTTTATTTGAAACTTCAGCAACTTAATATAAATTTTGATGATTTGAAATGTCAAACACATAATTTGTACTAAGAATTACAATAGGAAAAAATAAATATAGTAAATGATGTTTTTACAAAACATATAAACTTTTTAACACTAGAAAGACTGAAACTTAGTATATTGCTCAAAAGCAGTCAAAATGACTGGATTCATAAAAAATAAATAACGTGTAAAGAAATTTGTTTAAAATTAATTTTTAATATTTTTTATATTATTGACAGTTATATAACAAGTTATTAGTAAATATTAACAATAAAAAAATTATACGTAAAAAAATTATACGATAACAAGGTTAATAATGTAGTAAGACATTTATTTAATTTTTATTAAATTTAATTTGCAAATATTGTCCACGACCGGGATTCGAACCCTCGAGACGAGAAAATTCTTGTCTCCTATCATTTAGCCCTAACGGCCACACCGCAACTTCCCCGAGTGCTATTGCAAAGAAACAGCGTTGTAAATCTTTACCTTTATGAAAAAGAGGTACAGCACTTGAACTTAGACTAATTTGATATTGTCTAGCGTATGCTACTCTTTAATTTTTAAAGATCCGGGTCAGCAAATTTTGGATCAAAATAAATATGCACAAATGTCACAAAATCAAGTCTTATCTCCTAAAATTACACAGAGTGGTAGCAAAATGACGATTGAGACCATTTTTTAATTTTGATTACACTTAAAACTTACACAGCAAAATCATGAGATCTGATATATTTTTTTTAATTATATTTTGCGTTAAATAAAAATAAATTTCATTTAATTATCAGAAATAAAATGGTATATACCGTCGAACTTTCTTATAACGAGTGAATGGACCGTAATATTTGATCGTTACAACCAAGTAAAAAACGGTTAACTGTGGCCGTAAAATTTTATACAAACTTACTGAAGCATAAATATAGCACATTCACTATTTGCTGTTTGATTTTTTGCACGGCTTAAAAAAAGTTTATTTATTTTCTTTGAATTCCTTTATAGTCTATTTACTGACTGATTATTATTTGGATCAGACTCATGGCCGAAAAACATAGCCAAGAACGGATTAGATAAGCTATATTAAGTAAAAATTTTATGAATAAAAAGAATATTGTTGGATAAATCTGCGTCTGCTCCAATCAATTTAACATTATCATTAAAATCGGGTTGCATAAGAAAAATTATATTAGGTATACCAGAATGATCTGTCCGCGAAAGTGCATGTTCCTTTTTACAGTAATGCAAAAGTTCTTTCATAAAAAAAGGTGACAGAGTATCTTACACTTTAACTCAATGGTAATATTCTGGCTAAAAGAGATGCAGCATATATGGCACAAAAGAGAACATTCAAACTTGTAACGTAAGTATCCATCAGAACTGAGCAATACATCCGATATATACATTTAAGGGTAAATGCCCGACTAGTTTGTTTTTGTTCTTTTAGCAGTCGAATGAATAATAATGACTATGATTACAAATATACTATTAAAAGTTTTGTTAATTGTATTTAATTTTCATTAAAAATAAAAATTTAAAAAGAGTATTATTATTAATATTTTAACTAAGTAACTATTTTTAATTACAACAGCTACCATTTACGCGAAATTTCTACTTCAATAAAAAGGCTTTTGTTCTTAAACGGGATGATTATATACCATGCAGTTGCTTTCTTTATTCAAGTCACCAGTCTGAATTGTCCAAATATTTTTTATAAAAGTAATTTGATTTAAAATAAAAAGAATTTTCACTTGTTTCATGAACTTCGCTTTTTTATCTCTTTAATAGATTAAATTTGGTAAACATAATTGTTAAAGTTTGCATTTTGCTATCCCTCTGAAAGCCTGAAAGATGGCAGGGTTTATAGTAATCCACAAAAGTTATTAAATTGACTACAAAATCTATGTTCTGAAAGTGTTTTTCGTTTTTAAAAATTAATCACAAGTCATTCCCGATCCCCATAATAATTCAGTAACACAAATACGTAAATTTAAAGCTAACGGCGAAAATTGCTTAAATTAAGTAGTTGCTGCATCAATGAAATTCTAATTGCTTTAATAATGAGTTTACCATCAGTATTTCTAATAAATCACAAGGCGCCCTGCAATGGTTGTTGAAAATTTTACAGCAATATATACAAATGCAAATTGGATTTAAATATATCAGTTTAAAGATCATTTAGAGTTTTTAAATTTATCAAACTGTACCAGATTAATGTTAGATTTAATATTAATCAATGGATGGTTCATAAAAAGAAAAAAAATGAGAGTTTTTTGTACTCACCATTTTAAGATAGTCTTGTTAATCTTTCTAGGTCAGTAGAGATCTTGGTGGTAAGATGGTTGTTGGTGTGATACCAAAGGTTCAATCTGTTTTTATAGTCCTTTGGGTGGTGTCGTTTTTTCGCAGTTTCTTTGGGTGTACCTCGTATAACACAGATGAGACAAAAAATGTCTAACTGACCCTGAAAGGGATAGTCTGTAGGGTTGGCGGAAGCATATAATAGAAATTTTTACCGATTTCGGCCTTGGATATATAAACATTATTTCATGTCATCTGGCCTACCAATTTGTGGGTGTAAGAGCAATTTTCACTTTCATTCACAGGGCTTTGTTTTGATTCTAGGATGGTATTCACTGGCTTTTGTTTTTGCTTGCTTCAAATAATAAGGTGAATTGTGGAAAAACACTAGTTAAGAAAACATTCAGTTTTTTTTAAAAGAGTATGTGAAAAAAAATAATGAAAGGAAGTAGCATTCTTATATATGCATCAAATTTATTTTTAATAATATATTACTTGATTAAAATAACTATCATTAATTTTACAGTAAATGAACTGGATTGTAAAATTTGTTCTTGTGGCATTTTTTTTTCCAATAACAATCTTCAAAAAATTGTTTTTAATCAAGATACTTAACATACATTTAAAAATGGTAATGTGAATAATGGAAAAACACTAATGTAGAAAAAATTCAGTTTTTTAAGTATGTAAGAAAATTTGTGAAGGAAAGTAGTGTATTTGCATTTGCATCTAATTTATTTTTAGAAATATGTTTACCGATAAAAATAACTATTATTAATTTTACAGTAAATGAATTGGATTGTAAAATTTGCTCGGTAGGTATTGTTGTTCTAGATAACACTGTGTAAAAAATTGTTTTTAATTAAGGCTCAACATTTAAGAAACAAAGATTAAATTAAACAAATGATGTCGAAGTTTTCTCTATGTACAGTATAATTAAAAAAAATACATATATTTTAAGAAAAAATTCTTTTAGTCATAGCTTAAAAGATATTTAAGACTTTTTTCTGTACTTACATATATTTGTTTTGAGAGGTAATGGTTGCTGAATAATCGAGAATGATAGAAAAATAATTTTAGTATGGAAAAATTTATTAAAATATCATTTAATTGACGATTTCATATTATGAGAGTTAAGGAATAATTTTAAAAATATTGCACTAGCATACACTAAAATTTTTCTTTAAATTATGATTTTTTTTTGCAGTACACATGGGGTAACGTGCCCCAAAAAACATTAAATTAGAGGTTATTAAAAAGGAGCTACTGTGGGGCCATTAAGAAGGAATGAGTTTAATAAAAAAATATTCAAAATTTCCATATTTAGTTCAGTTTGTAATAAAGACAAATCTAATAATAATAAAGACTGTTAATCCATGAAAAATCACATGAGCGCAGCTTAGTTACTTAAAATAATAATTAATATTTTTTCACGTCTTGGTTTTATTCATTCATTAATGACACTATGATTTTTTAATTTTTTTTGTACGAATATTAAATGTTTTCACGATGTTGTGATTTCAAATCTGCAATCGGTTTCTCCCTGCTAGCTACAGTTAATATGAAATTTAATATATTCTTAACAAGGAATTTGTAAAAGTCACTCACGAAAATGGGTGTCCCCCCATCTCAGTTACGCAGGGAGTGGTACGAAGTGGGCTATAATACTTTTCAGTACATGAAGTGTGTATGTTTATGTGTAAGCATATAAACCTATAATTTCTTTGTAAATTTACCGACAAAAAATAAACTAAACTAAAAATATCATTTTTAAAACAAAATCTGTTACTTTCCGAACAAAACTGATTTCAGATTTGAAATCCCCACTTCCGTACTAGATAAGATCAAATCTTTGCCCTGCTTGTATAAATGCAATAAATAATTTGCACTTCAGTGTTATAAGTTATTTGCACCTCAGTGTTTCCACCTTACTGCTCATTACGCTAACCAACAATCATTTTTATTTGCTAATTAACAATCATTTTAATTTTTTAACTATAAATAGGTTCTTGCATAAAAATCAAAAATTGTATCGAGAAAATTTTTTTTCTGTTGCATGTATACAAGTTCTTAAATTTATCTGCTTAGGGTGAGAGATTTCAAATAAAAAATTATTTTTGTTTGGAAGCTACAGATTTTCTTCAAAATGATATTTTGACTTTAGTTTATTTTATGTCCGAATTTACAAGTTTATAAATAATGAGAATGTATAGGTTTATATTTATACATGTATACTTGTCTGCTTCTTTGAAGATGAAACTCATGCCAGAAAAACATATTGCCTAAACGTGTCGCGTCATATACTGAAACGTCTTATCGGCTTCTTTCTACTACTTCCTACTTAGAGTAGAAGTGGGAACACTTAGTGTTGACTCCAGAGAATTAAAAAAAAAATCCTGGTTAGGAATACATTTTGAATTGCATAAAAACTGTAGCTTGTAACGAGAAATCAGTTTCAGATTTAAAATCAGCGACTCGAAAATATCTAAGATCTGATAAAAAATAATCTCATGCAATAGGGAAAAAATGTTTCCTCAGTGTTATTTAAATTCAGGATCTCAAAAGTTTTATTAAGACGTTCACGCCGGGAAAAGTGTAAATACGGGTACAGGAAAAGAGAAAATACTGGTTGAAGAACTATTTCAATATTAGATAATATTCGGGAGGAGTGTTAATTTATTCTCAACAATAACAATTCGCTGTAAGGAAATTTATCATCATCATCATCAACAACATTTATCTGGGCGCCTGGGGCCGTTAGCAAAATTTATCACGGTCCTAGTCCTAGTGTTTAGATTTTACTGGGCACCTGGGCCGCGAAGCGGCCCCTATCCCATTCATCTGGAATTTTTGAACAGTTTTGATTGAGCAATGAGGTAAGCAGGCAATGGAGTTGCTTTTATGAATGTTTCAAGCTCTTTGCTTGAATAACTAAAAAGGAATCAAAAATAAATTGAGCAGCTTGCTCTAAACTGTGTTTGTTTGATTTTGGAGTTGTTCAGAATTGTATCAGCATGAGTAAACGTTATTTTCAGAAAGGTTGATGAAATTATTTGTTTTGATAGTTATGATATGAGGCGTCGGAGGTGAAATGTGCAGCTATTGGTCTGTAGTTTTTATCTTTGATATAATTTTCAAATTTAAAGATTTCATTAAAATTTGCTGTTTTACATTCTATGGCTTTATCGAAAAAATCTGCGTTTAGCTT